GTAACCGAATTAGGAGACCGTATACTACTAGCTCTCTGAGAGATCCAGCTGGTGAGGTCTCCTCCCTATCTTTCTCACGCATATTGAGAGGGTGTGTCCTCTCATGTTCTCTGCTTCATCAAAAGCCGCCTCTTTCAGCTCAATCCGAGCGCTGTCTGAACCCACTGCCAGTATCTTCTGTGTGTGGGGAGGGTGAGGCCTGAAGTGGAGGGTGCTGAGTCCCTGTAGTCCTCTTCCCTGGTCCTCTTGGTGGAAGAAGGGCGCGAGGCCTGAAGTGGAGGGTGCTGAGTTCCTGTAGTCCTCTTCTCTGGTCCTCTTGGTGGAGGAGGGGCCGAGGCCTGAAGTGGAGGGTGCTGAGTCCCTGTAGTCCTCTTCCCTGGTCCTCTTGGTGGAAGAGAGGCCGAGGCCTGAAGTGGAGGGTGCTGAGTTCCTGTAGTCCTCTTCCCTGGTCCTCTTGGTGGAGGAGGGGCCGAGGCCTGAAGTGGAGGGTGCTGAGTCCCTGTAGTCCTCTTCCCTGGTCCTCTTGGTGGAAAAGGCGCCGAGGCCTGAAGTGGAGGGTGCTGAGTCCCTGTAGTCCTCTTCCCTGGTCCTCTTGGTGGAGGAGGGGCCTTGACCTGAAGTACAAGGGGCTGTGTCCACGTGGTCCTCCTCACCGATCCTCTGCCTCTTCACACTTACCTGCCCTGTGTCGTCCTCTTGCCTGCTCCTCTTGGTGGACACTCCTGACATCTGAGGGACGGGGGTTGACGCATCTTCAGGACACTCCACGTGAGAAGAAGGTTGGGGCAGCAAGAAAGGGCCATCTTCATTTTCCTCTTCTTCCTCCCAGTCTATTCCTTCCACCTCGTCGTCAAACATCAAGGAGTCGTATCCAGAATCGTCGCTCTCCCATTCGAACTCGTCCTCCTCCTCCTCCTCCATGTCCTGTAACATCCTGTCCGCCTCCAGAGCATAGTACGCCAAATCCCTCCCGAAGTCCAAATGGTACGCCATCTCTTCATAGTCCTCCTCCTCTTCCTCCTCTTCCTCCTCTTCCTCCTCTTCTTTTTCCTCTTCCTCCTCCTCGTCAAAGAAGGCCAAGGGAAGAAAGTCACCTTCACCCACAACATAAAGCTCACCTACCTCTACCTCATCAGAGGGGTTGCAGATGGGGAGAACACCGGGGTTGTCGCCGAGGATCCTGCAGTCTTCAGCGGGACGCTCCATGACTCAGCCAACACCAGCTTTGAAGGAAACATTTAAACTGTCAGGATCTGTCATTACATGAAATAGTTCTTACATAAGCAATAATAAAATATTTCATTTGTAAAGTCGACAGCTGATCACCACAGAAACTATGACTGCACGACACAAGGAGTCACCAACACACATGAAGCATGTCCTTTGAACCGTAACATGAAACAGCTCTGCCTCTGTCAAGCTGAACAGATAACACATGGCAAACCAACTATAACAATAATAATACAACAATTAATGTAAATAATATCCTGTTGTGGTTTTATGTGGCAAAAAAAAATGCGGTAGGGTTTCTAATATAAAAAAGCTTCTAATCAGCGGGTCAACTGAGCCACTGTTGGAGCTCTGGACAGAGACGTGGATTCTGCATGTGTGTCATTACTTTGCAATAAAAAGCGTGGACCTGTTTGATGTGCATTGAACTAGTGAGTCAGTGAAACACGGCGGCATCGATCCAACATAACCACTTGATCTTCTTTAATGTCTCTTTATTCTACCAGACAGTGTATGAGTTGCACATCGCAGCGCGTGAGGAGGTGCAGCACGCGCACATCGCGCAATACCAGAGACGTGGTGTGTGCAGCGTGCAACAATACATTCATAGAAGTTTCAACCATCATGACGTCGCCTCTCAGCCGTCGCTATCGAATCATCATTCGGATCACTATTTAAACGTTCTATGAATACGTTCTCAGCGCCATCTTTTTTCACAAATTTCAATGTTAAACTTCGACGATTTGATACCCTAAAACCGAAATAATAGTGTTTTAAAAGCTCTACACTAATTGTTGACACATTCCGCAGATGTCCCGCGACATTTAACTGACCCCGCGCCTCAAATAATCCTCCTACAGGGAGAAATCATCGACTGAGTGTCTTTGTCCACCAAATCACACTTCTTTCACCGTTAAACTCAATGTATCGTACTCATTTGTAAGCTGGGACCCTTCTAAGGGCGTAAGGGGGTCAGAAAGTTGTCTTACTTGCGCACCGGAGGTCCCAATCACAGCCGACGTCCTCCAGCAGGTGCTCGTCCGCGATGCTCAGCCGCCTGAGGGCCTTTTTCAGCCTCTTCTGTGCTCCACAAGAGTTGTTATCTAGTAGTTCACTTCTCCAACAAGATTCGTATCGATAGATTTCGTCCAGCAGTTAAAAACTCAAAGAGTTCGCTTTCAACAGTTTGATTTCACAAGAGGTTTAAAGTTCGTGTTCAAGTCAAAGTGCAAATGGAACGATCAGAAAGTCTGCTGACCTTAAGTAACCTCGGGCGGGTCATCGCTCCGTTGCCAAGGCACTTAAGAACGCGCGTGCGTGCCTGTTTGTGCTCTCGTTTTTATTATATAGATCTCGTTTTTTAATTGATTACGGTATTATTTATGTTCTTTTTAGCGATTCATGCCCATTCAATACAGTTTACTTGTGAACATCTTTTTCTTAAACTCCAAAAAAGCGGCATATGTTTGTATGTATTTAATTTAATTATTGAAATAACAGGTCTTAAGTTGCGCTAGAAGATCAATGTGAGAGTTTACGGTGAGATTTAGATGATGAGTTGGGAATTAATAAACCACCAGAAATTAAACTGTTTACTTAAAGGTGTATTTAAAGGACATTTTATAAACTTATGAAATGTAAACTTTGGAGTGATATCACAACGTTTACACATGTTTAAAATCATTCAATCTGAACTATATTTATGTGGATATCATAAATCCGAAGTATCCGTGTTTCGCTGAAAACACGGTTTTTCGGATGCAACATAGTCAGAGGTTCAAAGTAAGATTGTTTTTAGGTTGGACTGTTTTGTGATTGATTTCATTTTGGTCAAATTCATGATTCATCAAACGGTTTCAGCTTTAAAGTATTTCTGTATCACATGAATAATAATATTATAATAAACGTCGTGCGTTGCCATTTAAATACATGTGATCTAACACCCTCAGAGGTGAAATGATCAGAGCAATTAAAGCGGATTTCTTGAAGCCTTTTGATGGAATACAAACGCGATCGAGTTTTTTTTGTGTTTTTCATGAGCTCTGGTTTTAGGTTTGTTATTGCAGATATTCTGCATTAGTGTGTCAGTGAGGTGAAGAACTACAGCACTGCTTCAACATGTTTAGGAAAGGATTCTAAATTGAGATGAACGTGTCACCTCCATTCAGCTGCCAACGAAGAAAAAATGTATACAAGTATTTATCATAATTCAACCTCCACATTGAGAGACAAAATCACGGTATTTAAACCCCACGTTTAGGACTGTTACGTCCGGTCCATAAGGGAATAAGGTGTTGGCACAACAACTTATTAAGACAACTTAATAATACAACTTAATAAGTTGTTGGCACCCCCTCTCTCCCTCTCTCCCCGCACGCGCACAGACATTTTGGGGGGCAGGTGCTCAAAATCCCCAAACAAAAGGACACCCATCGCCAAAATTATTCATGAAATTAAAAATAATATTGATAAATAAATAAACAGACAGAGTTGAAGCATAAGCAGCATTACATTAATAATATACCACAATACACCTCACCAGACCGTCATGTAGCTCAACTTAAGACCTGTGATTTCAATAATTAAAATAATTAAATTAAATTATAGTGAACGACACTTTAAGCCTGATTTCAGTTGTTGACTTCCTCCTGTAATGAGACATCTCGTCTTAGAATAACGGCAGAAGAAGAGGAGAATATTTAAAGTAGATGAACATGTGTCCTACATGGAACATTTTGATTAAAACATGAATGTTTCTAAGAAATGAAGTCAGGCAACTGAAAGCACAAACTAATCCAATAAAACAAATTCAAGCCCCGAGTTCAACAAGATGTGTGAGCGATCAGAAAAATGTGTGTCAACTGCTCCCAAAATAACAAAATCCTAAATATTCTAATAGGCTAATTTACTCGCTCCAACGTTAATGGTAACTTGATCTCAACCGTCTCTAGTGACTAAAATCAGCCAACGAATCAGAGGGTTTGTTATTGAACCCTGTAACACATCTAGTTGTCTTTTTCTATATATTATGGTATAATACTAAATACTAAATTCATGTATTAATTAATATGTTTTACTGTTGAGGCGGCATGAAGTTAAATAGTTAGTCACCATACAACTAAAAATGATTATATAGTGCTAAACTAACGTAATTTACATGTCTAACTACTGCAGAAAGTAGACTCGGTCGTGCGACGCTGGGGCGACGTAGAAAGAAGAAAGAAAGAGCTTTTATTGCACTATTTAAAGGTGGATGCAGGAAATCTTATTGTGAAAGGACAGAATTGGTTTCCCGGATATGTTAACAGCGTTTTTGATCATTTTGACGACCTTCTAACCACATTTATATGTGAATTAAATATATATGTGACTTTTTGTGTTTGCATTTGCAATTATTGAGACTGATCGGACTCCATAGATTAATGGCGACAATATGAATTTATTGAAGTGTTTCAATCACCACACTGTAGTTTCATGGCGTAAACCAGTTGCAACGATAAGGTCGAACTAATCCTGTTCGTGTGGCCCACCTGGGATTTGGGAGCGGTTTTCTCATCGTGTATCTCATCATAAACGTTTTCCCGGCTCTGACCAGCTGTTTCGGTGTTGCCGTGGACGCGCACGTTCACTTGTGCGTCCTGACGATCGATTGCTTTGGGCTGCCGCTCTCGCGTCACCAGGAAGCAGCGGTAGCCCTTTCTGTTTGTAGCTCGCGCCTTCGCTTTAACGTTAACCGTGGCCGGTAGATGCGCACTTGCACGGGGATGAGCGACGCACGCAACGGAGAGGCGTCTGCGGCCATTACGGTGCACAATTTCTCGGAGAGGATTTTGGAGCAGGTGATACACTTCCACGTGATGAAGCTCAGCGGCGGGTTCTTCCTCTGGGTCGGTTCCAGTCCGGTTCTGTCCAACCTCGCGGTGTCGATGGGCAGCAGATACGTGAGGACACGAGTGACGTTACACGTTCAAAGGGGTTTTGCTTCTTTTCTTTTATTGCCTCTTCATACTTGTACGCTACGCGTTTAAACCACGGGCTGTTGATCTGCTACACTTTATTTCGGGGAACAACTTTACTAATTGACGTTTTAACGATACTGAGAGCTTGTAGAACGGGATGTTTCTGTCCTAAAGTGAGCTGACGTTATCCATCATTTCACGCCACGCGTAAACATCAGACGTGATCAGTCGATTAACCAGTTACCTCACAATGTAAATAATCATTGCACAGTAGTTATAAACTAGTAAATAAATGATCTACTGCTTTAGTGCACGAGTAATGATGTAATGTGTAATGTGACAGTGTGTCTACAATTCCCCTCAATTGTGTATTTATACATTTTATAAAACTACCTTTTAGAAACTGTTTTAGGCCACGCATTAGTAAATGTAAGACTTGTTTTCATCTCTCTAACTTTATTGAGACTTTTTTTCGTTGATGCACAGTCCGATGAGGTTGACAACGAGAATACACGACGTTGAGGAACTGGCACACTTCACTGCTGTTTATTTCAATTGTTATTTCTATACTCATTGACAGATTGTAGTGTGTTGTTTATTGCTCATCGATGGCTTAGTGTCCTCTGACTACAACACAAACCGGAGACAACTGAACTGTTGTCCATCGGGAGTCACTAGGGGTAAAAACAGAGTTCAGGATCTGTTGCCTTCACTTCTATTATTATATAGATATATTAAGAAAGTCAGAATTTTGGATGTGAGACAGTTCATTATTTTTTCCCCCTGAAAAGACACTAACTGCAGGTGTACACATAGTTTTGTTTTTCTTGTCTGCAGGATTCGATGCCATTATCTACATTAGTCATGGGGGACCCATCCAATACCGCTGCTAATTCTATGGCACAGAGATTAGGTAATCATGCATGACGTATAACGTTTTTAGTTACTAAAACGTCGGAGCACTTTTTTTCAGATGTAATGTGGTTTGATTTTCTGTATCTTTAAATAGGTTATTTGTATGTTTGAGCTCATTTGAGAAACCCTGAACCGTAAAATGCTAATAATTCTCAAAATGCTGCGCGGATGTTTTGAATTCATGAGTCAGTTAGACATTCATTTGATTTATATTATTTATTTTTTTAAACTCACTTTTTATTTTGTTTTCAACAACATGACAACATGCATTTTCAGGCAGTTACTTTCTTTGTCCATTTTACAGTTGTATGTAGTCTTGTTACACATGATATTCAGGTGCTATGTACATTTGATTTATATCATGGATTTGAATTATTAACTAAGTTCTTCACCGGTCGCATGTCAATTCATCTTTTCAAGTAGATCTTCAACCCTCGCATCATTTCATTAAATGTGTGATAAACACACAGACGTGTTGTGGCAAGCTTTCTACGGTGTTTGTCATTCTAAAAAGGCTTTTAAAAATAATTCCTTTCAGATCTCCACAAACCTCTTAGTCTGACTCTAGTGTAATTGTGTTGTAAAGCAAACAATTCATTTTACAATCCAAACTAAACGGGAGGTAACGGTCTGTGTCTGTCTGTCTTGCAGCAAAGAAGACCAAAAAGCAAGTGTTTGTGAGTTGCAGTCTTCCGATGACGGACTCCAACCTCAGTCTTTCGGTGGAGCAGAGGATCAAGAAGGAGGTGGAGCTTCACCCTGAACACTTTTGATCACATTCGATTATTTACTCCTGTTTTGTGTAGAGCTGAGGATAAGATGGGAAGAGGGGTAGAAGTAGCGTTTCTTCCATTTGGAACTCCTGCAGACACTGTCGTGGTACAACAAGAATCACCACAAACTGTCACATCAAGTGTTCTTTTATTGACACAATAAATTAAGTGGTTTATTATCAAAACATGTAGGCCTATGGCTTTTTGTACAAATGCGTCATATTAAAAAAATACCATTAAGAAAACAGCATTAGTGGTTGAGTTTTTTTTCACTGTTGAAAACATACAAACTAGTAAACGGTACAGGGTGTTCAAAATACGTGCTGTGTACTACACATGAATATTGTCTATATGAATGAAAATTGGTTTATCCATTCAAAGATCTTGTATCCTATAAAAGTAAAGTTGATGGTCCCTACATCATGAATGGTACATGTATCCATACATTACATTTGTATGCAGTCCTAAAGGATACTTATCTAGTAAAGTGTATTATTGTACACCGATCACATCTAGGCCAGGTCTGTGCAGGCTGCGCTGCTCTATTCTAATCTTCACAAACGTTTATTTAAAAAAAACCTGTAAAATATTGTGCTTTCTGGCTATAGTTACACATCCTCGGAGCAGGATCACAACATTACCACATGTAAACCCGAACGTCCAAAGTAATTAAATAGATTAAGTAGTGTATACTCAAATTTTTGAAAAAGTTCTACTAACTTAATTATGTCATGTTGGTGTAACATGTTCTTCTTTTTTGAGTAATTTTAACTAATACTTTTTGATTTAATGGAACTATTTAACATAACTTAAAAATATAACTTAAGTACAACTTAATAGAATTAAGAAATGTCATACTAAGAATGATAAAGTCCTATATTTCTATTTTTTCAAATAGGATGATTTAAAAAATTTATATATTATATAGCACATGCTAAAATACAATCAAATCTCACAAAGTGCTTCACCAAATAAGTAACATCGATCATTACAAAATACATTTCAATCATAGCTTATTAAAACAGTACCAATTTGATTGGGGCAAATGCTGAAATCCATTAGACATTAATGGAAGACAAAATGTATTCATTTTTATTGTCATCAGTTTAATGTAGCCTATATATTCATTTTGCTTGCAGGGATCATTTTAAAGCTCAAACTGACTTCCTACACTAGTCCATGTTCTCTCTAGTTAAGCTCGTTTTAAATTCTGAGCAGTGAGCACGCTGTAAAATGTGCTTTTACTTGTTTGTTATTTTAGGATATTATTCTGTCAGTATAAAAAAGTATTCAAGTTGTCATGATAACACAACATTACTAGTTAGTAACATATCTACGACAAATAAAACGCTAATCTGAAAATTAATTCAATTGAATTAACACGCTAGTAGTGTATTTTAAGTCAAATTGATTAAGGAAGTAGTCGCGACCGTTATCAAAGTGCATTATGGGGTTGGCGGGCGAAGTTGACGTCCTTTCCGTCCTTGAGCCTTTTCGGACCAGGCTTCGGTAGCATCATCGGCTCAGACTGTTTTCAAGGTGAGTGAAATCATAGGTGTTTATATATATAAGTTGATATATGTAATGTGTGAAGTTAAATTATGTTACAATCAGCCAGTTGCCAATCCTCAAACGTAAAACAATTTAATGTAAATAATTATCAGACTTTGTCGTACGAGTGACATTACTAACGTTAGTTACTTCTGCTCCATTCACTGGGACTTAGTCTTCTCTGCCTGTGTGTGTCTCTACTTCAGCGGTTGCTGGTTTGAACTCGCTAACGTGTGCGCTAACGTACGTGCTAACGCACTCTAGCTAACGAACATACTACGCTAACTAACGTTACTTGACTGTGCATCTCGGACCAGCCGAGGAGCACGGGGATAGTATTCCACTAGCTAGCTAGCTTGTTCAACTGAGAAAAGGGCGGCTAACGAACCTACGCTAGCTAACATAAGTTAACGGTGCATGCTTGAAACCGCTTTTCAGTCAAACAATCTAGCTAGCTAGTTAAAAAAACGGCCTCCCGTGCTTCTCGGCTGGTCCAGGAGCAGCGCCAGGTGTTTCTGCATCAAGCTTGTCGTGACTCGCAGTTCTGTGGCATTTCTATTAATTTTTTGCAAGTCATTCTGTTCATTCATTTTTGTGTAAAGCTGGAACTTTCCATCTATAAACGTTGTATAAAACTAATTGAAAACATGTCATTTTAAGGCAGTGTTAGCTGTAGTCATTGATCATGTTTTGGTAAGCTACTAGTAACTAACTTGTTATTATATTAAGTATAAGCAATTCCGTTTTTAAATTTTTAGATGGTGTTCTGAACTTTGTCATTTCTTTTCTTTGCCTTTTAGGTTGCTGGTTCCAAAATGATCTGGAAGTGTAAGTTGTGCGCAGCTTCTTTCACCTCCAGAATACAGTTATTTAGACACTATAGGCTGCAACAAGATGAGACGGCTGGATGTCAGGAGGTCACTGTTAATGCTGGAAAAAGAAGTAGAAGTAATCCTGAAAATGAATCTTCACATTCCAACATTAAAAGACCCAAGCGAGCCGAAGTCAACTTCCTACCCAACTTTCCCCAAGGAAAGGATCCTTCAATCCTTGAGCAGTTGAGGCAGACAATTGTTGAAGAAGTCACGAAGACTGAGAAGAGCCTGCCCCTGATTAGAAAGATGATGGAGACCACATTTCCCCTACGCCGACAGACTATAGTGATGTCCTGCCCACCAGTGAAGGAGCTCATGAAGCTCTGGCCTGCTCTCAAAATAGAGAATGAGGTAATATGGATCAGCTCTCTTAAGTGAAAATTATTGTGATTCTAACTCATTTGGCCCCTATTTTCTGCTTTATGAATGTGTGCTAGAGTCTTCAAATGTTACAGTTTTTGTATAAGTGTTGCTGTATTCTCATCCTACTGTTATTTCAATGTAGTTGTATGCAGAGTTCCAGCGGATTACGAATCAGAACCTCTCCAACACATTCTATGCTGAGCTTGACCGCCATCTTCCTCGACTGATGACCTTATTCAGACAGAAGGCATCAAAAACTGGGAAGACAGCAGAGGCTCTATTTGAAATTTTAAAAATCCACAATGAACAGGTAAATAAATTATTACGCACTTCATAGGTTCTATGACTAATGAGTTTTGTGTATTTTGCAATTAGTCCACTTTGTGTTTGCCATTTGTTTGATTGCATTAATAATGTGAATAGGTTATTTGTGGACATGCGTTTTGTTTGGACTGTTTAAAATCAGTAGGTACAATTCTGTTTTTATCTGAATAGGAAATCCATGACATCCACACCAAGCGCACTACTGTTCTCCACGCCCTTCCTGTGTATCTGTGCGAGGATGCTTCTGGATTTTTCAGAACCTGCACAGTGAGTCTCCTTAAGTCACTAACAAATCATACTGTGTATTATGTAAATAGTTTATCAAAAATACTATTATCTTTTAGGACTTCTTTGTTTAGTACAGTTTGTGTATGATCTGTTTTCTTTCTCTTCACTACAAAGGAACTGTATTGGCAAGTGATAAGATGTTCAGTAAAACCTGTTCCTGTAAATGTCCTTTTAACTTGGTTTCAGTCTCTTACACCACTTAGATTCTCTGGTAATTTGGCAGATTTGTGTGTGCAGAATATGGATCTTATGCTTTTCACCTCTTGAAATAAGACCCAGATCTCCCTTGTAAAAGGGGTATAGGTCGTCAATGGGACTTGGTTAAAGGAAGATACATTATATGTAATCTGTTCTGTTCCATGTGTTAGTTTGTGATTAGTATCTCTTTTTCATTCATTCAGGACTAGTCTGATGAGCCAGAGCTTGACGGTGTTGCAGTGGGCCTCCTTACTGTCATCAGTGACCATGACACAAGTCCAGTTCACTACAACCCTGTGAGAATCTCTGTCATCATTGAAAGTGATGCCATGGTCAGCCTCCCCCGACTTGGCGATGCCTTCCTGGTAATCTTTGGACTGATCTATGCACTACACCTCAGCTACCCCAAAGCACTGACCAACACTTTTGAATTCACTGAAAAGATTCTACTTGGTCTAGAAAGTGGTAAACTGTCACCCAAGTTGCAGACCCTCAAGAATGACTTGATGCAGAAACTCATCTGAAAGAAGGCTGCAGGGAAAGCTTTATAAAAGGCTAGTTCAAAGTTTAAGGGGAAATGTTCTATAGAGTTTTTGTAATTTCATCCAAATTGCTGCCCTGTTGCCTTATGCATGCATTTTGCATGTAATCTTGTCGCGCAAATAATTTGCGTCATGTTTGGTGTGACCACGGCATTACTCAGGAATTAGCCAAAAGCACAGTTTTCTTTTTTAGCTGTAACGAAAAATAATTTCATTGGTATTTATTTGTTCTGATTACTTTGATTACAATTTATTTGAGCTCTTTATATTGAACAGACCAGTGCATATGTCTCTGTTGATTTTATAAATGTTGATTTATTTTTCTATTTCATTTTAATACCGCTGTGTGCTAAAAGGGAGTGGGTAAGAAAATACGGTTCAATAGCAAGTGTTCATGAGTTTGTGGAACTCAATGTATTTGAGGCAATCGATTGCCTCAAAAATATTAAGTTTCGAGTGACAGGTTTTTAAGTAAACACATGCAACATTTTTGACTAATGTGTACTTAAAACAATGACAACACAAACTAATAAAAATTGAGTTTGGTTAACATGAAATGGTGTGGTTGTGTACTTATTTTTTTAAGTTCTGTGAACTTATTCGTATTAGTTTGAAAACTGGACATTTTAAGTAATAATAACTGAAAATAATTGAGTTGCCTTAACAGAAAACTAAGTCATATTAACTGCAAATATTTGAGTTGAGCTAAATGGAACACTTTAAATAAACTGTTATCAAAGGGTACAAGTATCAAGTAATCCAACATTTTAAGTTCTGGAAAATGTTGACTTTTAAGTTGATCAACTCAAAAAAATTGAGGCAATCGATTGCCTCAATTTTTTTGAGTTCTGGTAACTTATTCGGGTTTACAGTACAGAGAACAAGGAGTGGGAATATCTGCTAATTAGAAGGTATTTCAAGCAACAAAACTGCCCTTGGGAGCAGGAGAAAATAAATACTGGTTACCTTGAATTGAAATCCTCTGTTCCTTTAAAAAAAAAAAGTAACAAGAGTAACAGAGCCATCATGATAAAGCCATTGAAATGCTGAGAAGCGTCATAAGACATACGGTTGCACACTCGACTGGTAAACTCTCATGTCCGTTCAACTCTCAGGTTTTATTCAGCGCCACTCGCCCGTCTCTACGAGCTGCACGTGGAATCTGCCAAAGGTCTCCGGCTGTTGGTCCCATCCGACAACCATCATACACCAATATAGCGGTAATGCTTTCTTGTGTCTACACTGACCTCGTCTGTGAGGAGAAAGTGCCACAACAGACTTCTAGCAGAGGAACAACAAATACCAAATAAAAAAAAGGAAACATGTCAAACCATTTGTGCCCTTTCATGCAAAAGAGAGTGTTAGTGGTTTAGCCAAATCCCTGGTGCTCCAACAAGTCGGCTGAACATCACAAACACTTGATTGTGTCTCTGACATTTAGTGCAAAATAACTTCTAAAGAATTACAAGATGCAGTGAAATTTTCTCCCTCAAACGAGTCAAAACCCGCAAACGGAAACGTCCCCCGAGCGGACGTTACTCTGAGGGTCCGCTCCGCTTTGCCCGCTTCTTCTACCTGTCGATCCTTCTCGGACGGCAGTGCAACAAACTCCCCAAACAACACTTTCAAATTATTTAACGCACACTGACTTCAGATGGACTTGCTCAAGAACAATATTTTTTCTTTTGGCAACTCCTGAATGAATCATAGTCACAACAACGTGGCGCCCCCGGTGGTCGTGAGGTGCAACGGCGTGTCGTGGACGCGGGCGTAGTCCCCGTCGGTCTTGGCCAGTAGGAGGTGCTGCTCCCCCGGATGCAGCAGCGTCTGTCGGGTGAAGCTCTCTCCGTCGGCCAGGCTCTCGGGTAAAGGCTGGCCCCGCGGCTCGGGCAGCAGCAGCAGGCAGATGATGCACAGCAGGGTGCAGCAGGCGAAGATCACGTGGTGCAGGAAGTAGCCCTTCTGGTTGTGGAGAACCCTTTTTTTTGTGTCTGAAATCTAGATTACACCTGATGCCAGAGGGTAGACACAATATCCACCTGAGGTACGCTGATGAATTCAACCAACTGGTGGAAAACTTTCTGGAACACACTTCAGAAAATCCAAAATAATGCCTGATTCTTTTGTGCACAAGGATCAGAGAGAATACAATTAATTGCGTTCAGACGCTTAGTTTAAAAATGTCTAAACTTTACTCAATTGTTATATACCCCTTTAAGAGAGAGAGAAGTTATTTGTCAAGTAAATTACTTGCTGCTCTCATCATGCATCTTGATATTTGTTGTAATTGTGGCTAATAAAACCTTGAAAAACAAAGATTAATTCAAGGCTTAACTATACAGCTGAAGTTAAGATGTTGTGAATTTTGTTAATTAATGAAGTCAGTTACATTACAAGACTTAATTTGAACAATGTCTCTCTGGAAATGAATTAATTGGCTTAAATAGACTTGGTTATGTTCCATTCATTAAATAGTTATCTCAGTTAATTTGATTTACGTTAATTGCTTTGCAGATTCAGAATATCATCAGAAAATTAGTAATTAGTAAGTAATTAGTAAATCTATAATTATATAATTATAGATTAAGGTACCCAACAGTATATTTGCTCTACATTTTTTGGCTGCAACTGAAATTTAAGTAAATATAATCCAATTATAAATATTAATGTAAAACAGGCCTTTGCGCCTATTTAGATGTTTGGTCAAGTTTGAGGCTGATACCTGATACCTACTTGTACTTTTATTTAACATTTTGAACATATGAATTTTACTTGAAAGTGTTTCTGCAATATGTACCCGACACTCCGCCACATGCCGGGTTCACCTCCAGACCAATCTTTGTCTGCTTACTTCTAAAACTGGACTGTGTCTCTGTTGCATCTTACTGTCAGTGGAGTAATTGTTTTAAATGTCCTGCCCCAATTTGAGGTACGGTAACTCTTAATTGTATTTTATTTGAAATCTAATAGTAATTTATTTGCAGTTGTGTGTGATTCCTTTGATTGATTGGTGGACTACTAAAAGGAAATACATGTAGGGAAGAAGTTGACAATGCTATCTTCGCATTAACGCTTTAACAAATGCATTTGGTATTAACTTTTTGTTGACTAGTTGGGGCAGTTCAACCCTGTAAGAAGTGGATGCTTCTACATTGTAATCAGTGTACATATGATCTGTCTTAAAGGTCCAAAGAAACCTGACAAAAGTCAAATCTTTGGTGCACTCCACACTATAACATTTTCTTTAACCCAGGTTAAGGAAAATGATTTTTGATTAGCCCCACAGGAATATGGTTGAATACATTTTTGCAATAATTGATTACCCAGTATTACAAATAAAACCACTGTGGGGAAAAAATATTTCAGCAGAAATATAAAAAAAGGCCACCATGTCAAAATAATCATAATAAATATTGGTCAGTAAGGCAACAAAATATAAAAAAAATGTCATTACTTTGGATGAGGGGCCGGCTTTTGGGTTGGATTCATTACCCAATATTTTAAAAAATGTAGGTATTTCCAATTTTTAAATAACTTCATTGTGTAGAGATAACAAGAGAAAAAGAGTTTACGATAACAGAATTTATTTTATGAGGCAAATGAAAAACTTTAAACATATTTAGAATTATTCCTTCTTCTTCAGCCTGAAACGTCCGTCTCCTTCTTGATTTCTGAGAAGATGCAATAAGGTTGACTTCCTCTCTCATCTGTCCCAGGAGTGAGACAAAAGCCTGGAGGGGTCTCGTCCTGTGGAACACAAACACAAGTGATGAGAACTTTTGAGCTCAAATACACGACCTTTACATTGTTGAGTTGGATCCGGCCTCCAACGATTGAACTTTAGTCTTAGTGAGGGATTACTTACTTCGCCCAATGAAAGAAGGGCGCCAGCCGCTCTCAAGTCGTCCATCCTTCTCATCTGGGTCCTGCAGTCCTCCATCATTCTCGTCTGGTCCTGCAGTCCCTCCATCCCTTCTCATCTGGTCCTGCAGTCCTCCATCCTTCTCATCTGGTCCTGTAATTGGCTTATCTTGTCCGTCGTAAGGGGATCCTGGATAAGCGTGTCTGGTTCAGTCCCCTTCACCTTAGGTTCTAACTATAAGGACTATAGAGACTTTCTGGAAACTTCAGGTTGGTATGCATGTTATTATACTTACCTTTGTCTGG